GGGTCCCTTTGCCTCTGTGAGTTTGTCATGCGAGGAAGACCCTAGCAGATGTGAAGGAGAAGATAGGGAAGTACTGTCTTCAGCTGAGAAGTAGACCCTTGGACAGTAAAGCTGAACCAGATGTCTGTCTTTGCCTTCACTTTGGGAAACCATGACTGAAAGCATTGCTGTAACTTCCTAATTCCCCTGATCTCCTGTGAAAATTAGGCACTGAGTTTCTACTTGTGCTTCCAAAAGTGTCCTTTTTTTTTTTTTTTTTTTTTTTTATCAGGAAGGTGCAAATAAATCCTTGTTTTGGGAGATTTCACCCAAGTTCTCAGTGAATGTGATTAGTGGCACCATAACACTGTCAACGGTTCTGCATCTGGTAGCAATGTGGGGTCTCCTGATGAAGCCAAACTTAATGACAACAGTCATGTAAACAAGCTGCAGATGGATTTCACAGCTGTACTCAGTTTTAGCAGTGATATACAGGAGCATTTAGAAATGCGTAAACAGCGGGACATGTGAATGCCATGGGAAGCAGTAGCCCATAACATTCCCAGAAAGTATCCATCCCCACTGGAAGCTTCTTCCCCATGTAGCTATGAAAGCACAATTTTTCTTTTCCAATGATCAGGCCATTAAACTCTGAGGGTGGGACTAAATTCTCTTGGCAGTGACCTCTGCAAGACTGCTGATATAGTATAACATCAGGCTGGTTTGATCTCACCAGTGTGGGGCAGCTAGAGCACGGGAGGTGTTTGGTCAGGATGGCATAACTGTAATAACTTGGGGAAGGGGCTGGAGCTGCTTCATGGCCTCTGTGAGGGACCCAAGGCTGAGATCCAGCACTGTGGGGTGAGGCAGGAAGGGAGATGGGCAATCTCCTCCTGTATCCATCATTGCCTCTGTTGTAAATTGATATCTATATTACTAACCCCTGTAATTAAAAAAATATGATTTACACAAAATGGACTTAGTTCTAACTTGATTTTTGAGCTCTGAGAACATATCTTGAGACCTCTCTCTAATGGACAGTGATAGAGATACAGTTAACTTGGTGATTCAAATAATGAAAGCTGAGATCTTTCACCCCCAAGAGTGGAGGTTTTAAGAAAAAAAAGCAAGAAATTTGGAGTAACTTCTGCTAATTTCAAGGGATCTGGCAATACTGTACTCCTGCAGTCTCTATTAGGTGTTGCACCTAATGTTACCCTCAGTCATCAAGGCAAAATCTGTTCTGAGTTTTTAATACTTGCTAAAAAGTGTGTTAGAAATGTCCTAGTACAATGCTTTGAAAGAAATGCAAAATGAACAGCTACCCCTCCTCTACCAGCACAGAACAACTCCAGCAGATATGTGGTTGTATGACAGGATGTGTCCATGTAGGAGAGACTGAACCTCTGTGCTGGTCATAAACTTGAGGAGAAGTAGAGAAGCACTAGCCTGCTGCAAGGGCTTTGCAGCTGCAAGTGGATAATGAGGTGAATTCAGCAAAGATATGTCTAATCTCTAGCCATGGATTCATCTGATTTCTACCAGCTCTCAAATGAAGAGACCAATGTTAATAGTTCAGGTGTGAATCCAGTCTTAAACATGTGATGGCCCAGATTTTCCAAAACCAGTTAGGTTAGGAATTAGGTTCCATCAACAAAAAAGAGCTCAGAAATCATGAAGTCCCATAAAATAAAAACAGAATTCCTAATAGCTGTCATTTGAGGGCATATATTACCAAAATTTCAAGCTCTACTAAAAAACACAGATTGAAAAACTGCTCAAAATAAAGAACTAAACCAAAAAATGCCCCTATTCTCCTTTCTCAGGTAACCATTTGTCTCCAGAAGTTGGAACTTTAAATAAAACATCAACTACTGTGAGAATCTTGATGCAATGGCAACATTTAGCCATACTGAGGATACAAAAAGTTTTGAACCATGTGAAACTATGAAGATTAAACACTAGATGGAGTAGTTGGACTAGAATGAAATTGAGATTCGTAAAGCAACTCTAGTAACAGACCCATTGTAAATATTTTGAAATCAGGGGCTTAGTAGCAAGGCACAGCATGTGAGAGCATGTTTCTCCAGGAGCGCCAGTTCAGGGAGTTGGACATATGCTGCTGAATTCTTGCTGTGAAAACAGCCACCAGAAGGGTTCTCCCTTCAGCTTCTCTGCTGTGAGGTCCTGAAGCCTCATCACAGAGGCAACGGGTTGGCTCTGCACATTGCTGAGCTGCAGGCACCTCTCAAATAAACAGCAAACCGGCTTCACACTCTGCAGGAAGCTGTTCTGCTGTCTCAGGTGTAAGAAAGAACCTCTTTCCTCCCTGTTTTGTTTTGTTTTGTTTTGTTTTGTTTTTCCTTTTTCCTACCCTTAGGTTGTGGTGATAATCTGAGGGGCACTGATGCTCCTGCTGCCTTAAGCATGCCTCGTGGCCACCCTGCAGCTTGTCTCTTCATTCCCAACCCCTGCATCATTCCCTCCATTTTGTGGGCACCGCTGTTTGTGCAGCTGCTCTCTAAGCCAGGTGGGAGATTTGGTACAGTGGAAGTCCCCTGGCCAAAAAAAAAATATAGGATATAGTTGAAGTACCCATGTGATCTCTCAAACAGTTCTGCTGTCTCCAGGGGAGGGATGCTGAGGCAGGGATGAACACTTGTGGGTGTGGGAGGGAAGCAGGGGATAATGACTACCAAAGAGAGGTCCATGTTATCATAGCCTCTGCAAGATGTAGAAAGCCCAGTCAGGGCCCTGGATCCCATTGCTCTGTGAATCTACACGGAGGCAGAAAACAACACCCTGACGTATCAGTACAAGGTAAAGCAGCACCTCAGCGTGCCTGAGCCGAGCCTTTGACAGGAGGAGACTTTACACCCACTCTCCACCTTTGTGAGTGGCTATGCAGAGTGGCCAAATGGCCAAGGGCTCTGGATGCCAGCCCTACATTGCCACAGTGCTCTCCACGGAGTGACTGTGGCAAGGGTGCTGGCAGCCCCCTGTGCCTGATCTCTGTCAAAAGCTTTCCAGCCCCGAATCCTCTGAACTTCCAGCTCCAGGCAGACCCTCATCCCAGTGCCTCATCAGGCGGAGGGTACAATGTGCTGTCTGTTTGTGAAATGGGGCTCTGGAGGCCTAAAACAAATTGTCCCTGGGGCCCAGGACAGTAGTGGTCATTCTCTCCCTGAGTCAGCCCCGTGAGGACACAGCATCTCTCAAGAGCAGCAGTTGGTGAATGCGCTTTTGACCTTTTCAACTTATTGTATTGGTATCTAGCCAAACAATTTAAGTTCATCTGTAGCGTGAGACACTCAGGAAACTGAGGAATGACATGCATGCTGTTTCCTACCAAGTAATAAACTGCCTTTTGTGATGGAGTGAATGAGGGCTTTGCTGCTGATGGCCAGATGCCCCCCTGTGCTGTGCAAGCACTGTGAGGAGCAAAGAAAATCTTAAAGGCCTTGAGAAGCTCAAACTAGAGGGAGGTACAGAAAAAAACCTTCCCTCTTTCTTCCCTGTAGATCACAAGTAGATCGTTGCAATGTTTCTTCATGGATGAAATCCTGACCCCACTGCAGGAGGGGGTTTGACACTGACACCAGCAGGGCCATCATTTCACTCCATGTAGTATGGGGTCTTCTTAAGACTGAAAGCAACAAAACAAAAGCTTCTCCAGAGCTGCTGAGCACTGTGTGTCAGCTCCTCTGAGTCTTCCGCAGTTGATTTTCAGGCCCAAATTTCCTCCAGGGGTTTGTCTATCCCTTCCAGGGCACAGAAGCCAAGACCTCAGTGTGCTGTGGTCATGGCTCCAGTGTGAGCCTAACAGAAAGGTTAGGTGGTAAAACCAGCAACAACTTAAATCTAAAAGGTTTTTCTCAAAGAAAATAAAGTAATATTTTCATATTCAAATTATAGTGCTCAGGAAAACATCAACTAAACTGAGGTAGATTTTCTTGGATTTGTGTTTAAGTGACTGGAAAAATAGGATTTTTGGCTTGTGGTTATGTTACACATTGACATGATGGCATGTCTGAGGTCAGGTACCCACTGGCCACAGTCATCAAGACTACAGTTGCTAGTGATCCCTTTCTTAAGACCTAGGAGGCATTGCTGCGGATCAGTGAAGATATCTGGTGAGATGGAATTGAATTTCTGTACTAAAGAAAATCTTCCCTGTGAGAGGGATCAGACTCTGGATCAGTTGCCCAGAGAGGTTGTGGAGTCTCCAACTGTGGAGATACTCAAAACTCGACTGGACACAGTCCTGAGCAGTCTGCACCAGCAGACCCTGCCTCAGCAGGCTGCTGAACTAGATGATCTCCAGAGGCCTCGTCCAACCTCAACAACTCTGAGATTTTGTGATTTTATGATTCTGTGATTTAGAACAACCACATTTTTATTTGTACAAACCTGGGCTGCCTTTTTAGTGCAGATCCACATTTCCCTTTGGATGTCTGACCAACACCTGCTCACAGCCCTGGAAACTGTGCAGGTGGCTTTGCAGGTGACTGTGCAGTGGCTTGGCAGAAGCTTATCGCACAGGGTGCTCAGCTGCTTGCTTTGCCAACCTCCTTTCAAGATGCTCATAAATACAGCATTCACTTTCTCATGACAGGCGTCCCTACAGGTGGAACGCCTAATTCCCATGTTGATCCTGGGGAAATATTCTTGTCTACACAGACAAGCTTCCATTATGTACTTGCAGTACTGGAGTCACCAATTACAATACAAAACCTGTTCACAACATGTGTCCTGCTTCCATCTTTTTCAAAGGTTTATGTAGTGCACAATCTTCATGTTGGTGCTCTTCACAAGGGTTAATCTTGCATCCTTCTCATTCTTCCTTTCTGTCTGTCTTCCTGTTGTGAAAGTCCTCAGTCCAGTGGCCACCAGAGGCAAGTCTCTACTTTTGAGTTATTTGGATTGTATGATGTGGGTGGCTGACTGACACATGAATTTTAGCAAGTCTTTATGTCATATTTCTTCCCCCAAACCCTGTGGGACCAAAATCTCTCTCACAGGAAAAAGATATAAACCTGACCCACATTGAGTCTCGACCTTCCCGTCTCAACAAAGATGAGTATGAATTTTTCATTAACTTGGAAGGCAAGAATGTCCCAGCACTGGACAAGATCATCAAGTCCTTGAGAAATGATAATGGAGCAACAGTCCATGAACTTTCACGAACAAAGAAGAAGGACACAGGTAAGGATACATTGACTATGATAACATTGACAAGGCATATTAATGTCACACACTTAAATGACGTTTTCCTGCAGCAAAGGAGGTGCTCCTGGATCTGTATGGGTGCATTTCCCTCCCTCCCTCTGCCTATTTTACCTGTGTTGTAAGCTTCTTCATTTGGAGATTTTCTCTCAGTGTAAATTGCCACGCTCCTCATTTTGCCATGTTTCTGACTAGGTCTCTTGGGAACTGGTGTTACGGTGTTATGTTGTCATCTGTCTGGTTGGTTGGCAGCACTCACAGTCTCTTAGATGCTTTGTTGTGTGGTAGCTTGTTACACTACCTTCAGAAGTTAACAGGGATCAAAGGATGATTGGGGTTACAGACTAAGGGCTCAGCTTGTAAATACCTAAGCAGTGGTGCAGGAAGTTGTAGGTACATCTATTTTCTGCTCCCAGCCTCTGCCCTATTTTAAAATGGACAGCATTTATATACAAAGCTTTTGGCAAGTCATGCAGGCTGGCAAATTTTGTTCTTGATGTACACCTGTAATGTGAAGAATAACAGGGGTGCAAGTGAGACCTATACCACCGTGTTCAATGCAGATAGGTTAGCTTATCAAGCCCAAGGACATGTCCCTGTGTCTCTGACTACCATCCCATAGTCTTTGGATCACTGAGCACTGAAAGCCATTGCAGGGCTTGAACACTTTTAGCCTTTTCTTATGTTCTCTGCCCGAACCAAAGAACTTAGAAGAGAAACAACAAGGATCTCCATGTGGGGTGCACCACATCTGTCTCGTTACTGTATGCCTTGATTCAAAAAAACCCCACAGGAACTCAATCACAATCTAAAAGGGCAAACAGTTCCAGCAAAATCTGCAGCTGCATGCATGGACTTGGCTTGCAGATGGTAGATCAATTAATTACCCTGAGAAATCCAGGCCTTGATCTGCCTCTTATTTCCTCTCACCCAATCCCTATAACAAATCTGTGTCTGTTCAGTTCCCAACAGAGTCAAGCTCCTATAGAGCCATTTTGTGGAAAAACGTCACCTATTGAAGACTGTCTTTCACCTTCCTAAGGAAGGATGACTCCCTGTAGTCCCCAGGGAGGTCACCAAGAGCGTGCCCTGGAGACATTCACAATGCCTGTGCATTGTGCATCCTTGCTGGGGTACTGTTCTATTTTGAACATTTATCCCAGAGATCACTTGTAAGTGAAAAGATGTATTTTAACTTCTAAGTGATACACAGACCCTGTGAACCCTGTCAGACTTCACCATTTTGTGTAGTGAGTCCATTCAGAGTCAGTCCACATACGGCAAGCACTGGCAGGTGAGTACATTATGATTGTGATAAAGCATCTTAAAAATAAACATAAATTTTAAAATCAGAAGATAGGGACAAAAGTGCTGCAAGGGGTTATGTGGTCTGTCCCCTGGCAAAAGGCAGGACCAGCTAAACCACCATCTGCCCTGAACAGTGATGTCCTGGGCTGCCCGGCTCTGCCCTGCGGGGCTGCCCTGCTCTGACCAGTCTTCCTTGCTGCACTGAGAGCTGATGGCTTCTCCCCCTGCCTGCCTTGGACATGGGGAACAGAAGATACTCTTCCTCCTCAGACCAGCCATTTCGGTCTCAGGTGACAGTATCCTGCTCAACCTCAGCCCTCTCCTCTTGGGGCACCTGATTTCTGGGGTCATTGCTCTTGTGGTCTTCTCTGGAGTGTCTCCAGTAGGTTAGATAAAACCTAAATATAACTATGGGCTATAAGGACTCTATTGCTCTGGTAAGCAATTCATTAACCATTTATTAAACCAGTGCTTGTTCATTTGTTGCTTATTAGATAGACCCTTCACACAAAGTCCAGATGCCTTCCAGGTTATCCTTATTCAGGTAGGAACTGATGGTAAAGGGCACTATAACAAAACAAAAAGTGTCAATGAAGTGCTGTCTCAGTGCTTTTCCCCACACCGAATATCTCCAGAACCTCACAAATCATGCTGGCACAAACCTTGTGCAGCAGAGGTAACAAGAACCCAGTCCTGTGCAAGGCCTGGTAGGACTGGTACCATCCTCATGGGGCAGAGGGAGGGATTGCTCTCCTGCAGTTCTCGGGGTTGGTATGTCCCTCTGAACACCTCGATTTACTTTCCAGTTTTGGTCTCGTGGACCCTGGCTGCTGGCTGCTGCAGCCCCATCCTTGTGGGACCCTTGCACCTCTGGGCGAGATGAGAGGAGGGGAGGAAAAGTCCCCATGGGGTGACCATCCCCCCACTCCCTGCTCTCCCTCACACAGGTCCATGTGAGTCCAACACCATCCGTCTCCCCACTTTTTGGCTTGTGGATGCCCCTCACTCCTGCTATTGAGACTAGGGAGGCTCTGCCACTCACTTTGATGGGAGCAGGAATAACTCTCTGTTCCTGTAAGAAATTCATTGGAGGTCAGTTGTAATTCTGCCATCAGAGAGAAATACAGAAAGATTTTCTGAGTTGTCCATGCTCCTAATTCTCAGAGATTTGCTGGAGTTTAGGCTGCTCAGTACAGTGGTGGCTGTCCAGCACCCAGTCTGAGACATCCTTAAATGCCTCTTCAGATAACAGATGTGATTTTAATAGGATTTCAGACTTTAAATACTTTAGGTCTGGATCTTCCTCTTCCTTCCTAGGAACAACATGAAAGGACATTAATACCTTCTTGAGATCAGTGCTGGTAATCCTTTTACCATTTCCTTTGTGTCCTATCCATGACATTACATTTGAAGATGAAAAAGAGGAAGGCAGCTACTCTTTGGAGTCAGTTCTCTCCATTCATGAGATGAAGGCACAAAAGGTTGATTAGGTGATTTATGATCATGTCAAATCAAAGAGGTTTTCTTTTGGGGGCTTTTTTATTTCCAGAAGAAAGCTACAGGCTTAGAATGGCTTCCCATTATTTCTGTTTTTCTAATTATTATTAAGAAGTTAAAGTTGTGTACAAGCATAGGCCAGAGTCAGCTAGAGATACAGCTCTAAATATTAGCCATAAAAGGCTTGTGAGTGAAATTCTGACCTCACAGAAGTCAAAACTCCTGTGGTCAGCTGTAGGATTAGGATTTCACTGCATGTTACTGTGTTGATCAAAGGTTTTTTGAGCTAGATTATCCTGTCAGTGCTGCAGAAAGGGAGTTGATCCTCTTCTGTCTGAGAGGATAACTTGTGCTTGTTTGCTAGTTTCAGTAATTCAGAAATAGTATGAAGTGGGAGCAATTTATTTCCAAGGAAAGAGAGGAAGATTGATATTTCTTTTTGCCCTTTGTCTTTTTCTTTTCTTTTTTCTTTTTTTTTTTTTTTAATTTCAACTTCTCTTATGAGCAGTAAGGGTCCAGTCAAACTGAAATCCCCAAAGAGCCATATTTTGAAAGGTCAAACAAGCCCTGCTTAGGGGATGAACTGTGGGTGGCAAATTCTGGGCTGAGGCAGCTAAAAGGGCAGAGTGAGATGGGAACAGCCTGAGCTGTAGAAAGTGTGGTAAGATGATGTCCTTCATCAGTGATGGCATTAACAAATAACAGGCCTTGTGTTGCCTTTTAGGTCATCTTGCCTTTCAAATATATCCTTCTGGCAAATCTGGTCATAATCCACAGATGCTTTCATGTGAAATTTTATTCCTAAAACACAGAATGAGAGTAATATGTTTCCAGGGAGCAAAAACTCAGAGATATGCTTTATGGGGCTATTGTCACACTCTTCTCAGTGGGCAGGTAGAGGCTAGGAAGGTTTTCTCCTGGAGGCAGTCTGGGCTCCCATGTGACTAATTCGTTCCCTGCTGTCTAAAGATGCTCTCAGTCCTTCCTTGCTAAGGGTTCATTTTGCTCATGCTCATGACTTGAGAAAAAAGAACCAACCCTATTTTGTTCAGTTTCCTGTAGGAAACACACAGTGCCATTCTTAGGGCACTGCTTTGTTGACAGTCAGAGGAAATTTCTGTTTTCTGCCCCTTCTGTGTAGTTCAGTGTTAAACATGTGTAAAGGGCTTTATTTGGCACAGGATAAATTAATGGCTTTTTTTTTTTTTTTTTGTCTAGTCAATATAACTGCTTTTAGGGTCTTTCCTCAATGAAATGCAAAGTGTAATTTTGGTTTCTCTTTGACAAACCCAAATAGTTACAAATACCAGATTTGGCTCAACAGTGTAATTTTAGCTAAGAGCAGGCCAGCAAAATGCTCTAAATCCAAAGGTAGTTTTAGAGCTTCAGATGAGATGGGTTAACAGTCACTGGGCCCAAAATGCTTTGTAGAGATGGGAGGATTTGTTGTGAAAACACAGTGCATCTCTTCATGGCTCTTTTTGGAAACAAGCTGGGTATCTGCAGTCCACTTGCCGCCCATGAATAAACAGAATTAAATATTATTCTTTTGCAACATTAGGGAAATGCAGACAATTTATGGCATTTCTGAGACAGGCTGGGAGCTGAGGTTCTGTAGGACCCTTGTTTGCTAAACCCTGAGGCTGGCCAAAGTATTTGGGGCTGCTTAAAAAAGGGCTAAACCTGGGCCTTGAACTGCTATAAATTGCATAGACCTGTCTTTGACCCTCCTCACAATGGTCCGAATGGAGGAGTTCTGCAGAAGTCATCACTGCCCCTGCTTTGCTGCCTCTCATATAAATGGCTTATTAGCATTCTGCTAAACATTTGACCCCATGGTAATTTGGTCACCACTTGGGTGTCCAGCATGATCCCATAAATGCTGCTGTTTCACTTACAGACAAATCAATATTTATTACTGATCAGCCCACGTTTGCTCTTCAGACCTTCACAGAGGCCCAGTGTTGCAACAGCTTGCCCTGGCAATTCATTAATGGTGGTGCAGACAGACAGCAAGTCTGGCGGAGTAGCTGGAGGAGGATGTTGCAAACAAAATATGGGATAGAATCAGCCAGGGGGTAATTTGATTTGATCTTTTAAATAGTTGCTGGGAGGGCTGGGGACAGCCTCCTGGCACACCACAGCTAGGCAGAAGACCCAGTAGCTCTTTTGCACCTTGGTCCCTGATGAAGGGGCTGTATGAACTTGCTGCAGTGCCTGCTGAGGGGCTGTGTATTCAGGACCTTCGATCCTCATTTCCACAAGAACTGAGTAGGCTCAGGACTTTCTAGGACCTGACAACATTAGCCATGTTGTAGCAAATAGAACTAAGCATCCTCAGGATTTTCCTTTCACAGGCTGCCCCTTTCATACAGATCTGCAAGCTTAGAGCTGCTCTCTCTCAGCTACTGCTGATGTGTAAGAGGACCTGGGAGAAGGGCAGAGATCTGCTGAAAATAGGGTCTGCATGCCTAGAGAATAAAGTGCTGCTCCTGTGTAGGGGAAAAACAAGCCACTCATCCCCATGCCCAGGACTGACACCACATCAGCTCAGGAGTCAGTCTTTCCCAAAGTTTATCATGAGCTCTGCACCAAGTGCTCTGGTGATCTTGAGAATAAAATGTACTTAATGAAAGTAAGTCACTGTTATATATTAATTTTATCCCTTCTTGAAGTTGCAAGGATTCAAACGCTGTCTACTTAGACTCTTCTGATTCAGGGCAGCAAAACTGTACAGGCATCACTGCTGAAATCCACTGCAGACTTCAGCCCCCACCAAAGTGTCTGCACAGCTCGGACACTCCAGGTCATGGTGCGTCTCTGAGAATAGTGGTTATTCACTCTAACACTGGAAAATTCCTTGCTGTGGGGCTGCCAGACAGGTTTGGGGTTGGTTTTTGTTTGTTTGTTTGTTTTCCCAGTGCCTAATCCCAAAACATTTATCAGTGAGCCTCACCCCAGTCTGATAGTGAGGAGCCTGAAACATAGATCAGTGAAGTGATTCTCCCACTGTCACACAAAGTTCAGCAGCAGAGCTAGAAAATAAACCCCATGCCCAGTTGCTCATATAGAATTCAGGGGCAGGGTGGGTGGATGTGCTCAGCCTTCACCTGGTGTGAGTGAGTAGTGACTTCTCTCTAGGACTCAAACACACCTTTTTCGACTCAACCCCTCTGACTAGTTTAACTCAAGGGGTTGGAGGTGCAGGAAGGTTGCTAACAGCAAGGTGAGAGAGTATTCCTGGAGAAACTAGAAAGGTAGTGGCATACCCAGCAGCACATCAAGTCTTTTGGGAAGATCTTCCTGGGACTGCTGCTGCCATCTAGTGACTTGTTCAGGTCTGGTTTTCAGGGCAAAGCAGGAGGGTGTGCCTCTCGGAAAGCGGGGGACCAAAACCCACTTGTGCCGGGCGGGAGAAGGGGAGCTCTGCCCAGCCGGGTCTCTGCAGCCCGGGGAGCCCGGGATGCCCTCGGCTGGCAGCCACCAGCTGCCTGCTCTCCCTGGCCTGCTGTGAGGGCTCCCAGCGCGGAGTGTTGGATGGAGCCGGGCTGGTGGTGGGACAGTAAGTCGGGGGAGCGAGCACCCTGCGTGGGGGCTGAGCTGCGGCCGCCCAAAGCGTGCCCCGTAAATCTGCTCTTATTGCTCTGGCCCCTCCGTGCAGGCGCCTCGCAGAAAGCCAGCGCCACAAGTGCCTCCGTGTTGTCAGGCTCAGCAGAAAGCAAGGCTGAATAGTCCTGGAGACAGAGTGATCTTCTTATCCCCTAGGTGGTCCATCAGGTCTGGGATGAGCCTCATCAGCAAGACACGGCAGGGAGCTCCTGCAGCAGCTGCCGGATGGGGATCAGGTTCACTTGGCACAAAACCCCAAATGGGGCGGGGATGCAGGCTGAGTGGCAGTGCTCCCATCGGAGCAGAGGCACACAGGGGAATGAGCTGCTTTCCAAAAACTGACTGAGCAAGTGACACCCATTTGTGCAAGAAAGTCATTAAACAAACTTCAAACATTTTATTGATGGAGAGACTACTCAGACCAGCAAAATTTTGGGTGATACCGGCTTTGAAGTCTATGTTGCTGACTTGAGTGTGGGGAGCATATGGGACATGATTGGATGGCCTGAGCACGGGGTATATCCTTAGATGGAGGTCTTGTGCCCTTTCTTTAGAAAAAGTATGGTAGAACTGGAAGTGCTGCAGAGAGAAGTGATGAGAGTGCTCAAAGACAGCCCATGATTTCTGTGCCTGAAATACAGAGGCAAAGTCTCAGGAAGATGGATGGTAAATGGAGAATCTGACAGGGAACTATAAAATCTTAGGTGGCCTAGAGAAGGTGAGTAACAGCAAATGATGTTTGTATGCAGGAACTAATTAACATCAAATGAAATAATCAAGTTTAAAACAAAAGGGAGTAATATTTCATATCACATGTAAAGAAATGATAGAGCTCAGTGCTGCGGAGTTTCCTGGAGTCAGATGTGTAGATGGGCTCAAAAAGCAAGTAGTTATATTTGTGAGAAGGTCATCACAGGCTATTGAATTCAGGAATGGCTACAGCCTCTGACTCCAGCAGGAAGTAAGGGAAGGGACAATGAAAAGAGGTAGGCAGCTAGGGTCAAAGGGACAAAAATGTAAGGGGCAGCAAGCTGAATCCAGCAGCACTGTCAGCTCCCAAGATGTGCTCAGCTGCCAGTGGTACCTAGTGGTGGTACCTACTGATGCACTTCCTGAAGCGATGATGGGGCAAGGGAGGGGAAAGGGCCCATGGTCTCTGTGCTCCCTGCATTTTTTCCCTGTCTCAATACTGCAGAGGGCTGGGGTGGCCAGTCCTGGTGATGGCTGACAAGGGGGTCTCTGGCTTGGTATGCAACTGGATCCTCCTGGAGGAGATAGAAGAGGGAGCCGCATCCTGGTACAGCCACTGAATGTCTGTGCCAAGACTCTTGCTGTTGAGGGGACATGTGGCAGGGGACTGCTTGGACCGCTGGATGAATACACTCATGGCTCCAGGAAGGAGGTTTTACCTGGGATGATGGCTCCATGTACCTCACGAGCTGCAAAGGGCTTCTCCTTTTAGTGCAATTGCCATGAAGACACTTGCCTTCTGCTTTCCTCTGTCTGAACAGACCATATCTGGAAAACCCTCTGATTCTTCCTTGCCCTCTGCCTTATGTCCTTCTGTAAAGGGAGAGCCACATGGGCATTACTTGCTGTGTAGTCAGTGTGATCGCATTTCACATCCTGCCTGCACCATAGGCAGTGTGTATACTATGTGAGTTACAAGGCGATAGAGAACCAGGCATAGAAAGTTAATTAAATTAATGCATGATTATATAACGACTACAGTAATACAATGCTAGTCTGAGGTGTCAGTGTGCCATTTATAATTTTATTTCAGCATCCTAGGTCTTAGAGAGATATATTCATGGGAAATAATTCTGTATCCTTCTTATTGTGAGGTTTCTCACTGTTCCTTTGAAATGTCTGATTCTAACTACTGTGAAAGGAAGGATAATCTGGAAAGATTCCCACATTTTGGTAAGCCAGGAGACCAGAATAATAAACAGAAAATCATAAACATTACAAGCCAGCTCTGTGCCAAGGGCTAGACGTTCCTGATGTTCTATATTCTTCCAATAGTGCAAACCAGCCACAAATTCAAGACAATTTGCAGGGTTTGCTCTTGCCTCTGACTACAGGGAAAGACCATTGCTACCCAAAGAATTTAACCCCTTCATGTGTTTCTTTATATTTATGATGAAAAAATGGAAAGACCATAAGAAGGCCCCAAACCAAGTAATGAAGAAACATACCAGTCTCTATTCCTTTTCTGTTTTGCAGTGCCATGGTTCCCAAGAAGTATCCAGGAGCTGGACAGGTTTGCCAATCAGATCCTCAGCTATGGAGCAGAATTGGATGCTGATCATCCTGTAAGAAACAGACCTTCATTTTTTTAACCTGTTTCTAGTTATTGGGACAGAGGTTTCTCTCGTTTAGATTTGCTCTGCTTGAAGACAGAACTAGTAGACTAAGTCTCACATGGTATAGGACAAGACGGGTACCATATTTCTACAGTTAGAATCACCTCAATCCCTGGTTATGAAGAAAATCAACCAAAGGTTCCTTTAATTTGAGCAAATACTAGGAGACCTTAAAAAGTCGTAGTGGTCATCAGAGCACAAGGTCACCAAAAGAACACCTCTAGTTTCTCAGGTGGCTCTGATGTGGTGACTCCAGACTCATTTAGTGAATCGCTAGCAACAAAAACTCCAGAAGCAACACATCATAGCCCAGAGATAGGAAGACTGCTTTTTTCATCCTTGATTACATACACACAATTGAGCTTAGTGCCTTGTTATGTGGTTGTTAAATCTGACGTAATTCTTTTATGGTGAGACACAACAAGAGGAAAGGTCCTTGTTTCAAAAAGTTTGTGATTTAAACGGTAGGATCAGAAAGTTTTGTTCATTGGCGCAGCTGACAAAAAAAATTTATTCAGCAGTTTTTCAGCTCTTCCAGATACACGAATATTTTCTGCCTCTATTCCCTCTCCAAGCAAACAACAACTTATTTTCATTTGTCAAAACACACTGAGTTTCATGCAGTGAAACAGAAATTGCTGCTATTAGTTTAATTGAGATAGGGTGATTATAAATAAATTACATGCAGCGCAACAAAAATTGCTGCTATTAGTTTAATTGAGATGGGGTGATTAGTCATTCACTACCTATTGCTTAATTCGAGATGTGTTATGTATCATGTACAATGATTCATGATGTTCAGTGTGGTCATGTGAAAAGCAGAATGAAAGGAGATACAGTGAGTCAATGGCCCCCTTGTGTGTCATGCGGGAATAGACCAAGATTGTATTTGAAAAAAGAAACCAAACCGAAAGATATTAAAAGGAATGAAGCATCTTTGCTCCAGTTCCTAGAATTAGTTAGTGAACAGTTTATGCCTTAAAAAGGAAACCCAGCTTCTGGGGTAAATAGGTGTGACAGTAAAGGGTATTAAAGGAACCTGTGATTTTAGTAGTTAAGTGATATGGGATTTAATCACAAATACCTCTATGCCAAGTTAATCTTGGACATTTTTTAGTCCATTGTCTGCCTCTTTTTGACTCACAGTCTTAGATCTCCACTCCGCTTCAGCTGTTTCCTGTACTTGGTTGTGTTTCATGGTCCCTCAGGCCAGTTGTTGCTATTTGCCCTACAGAAGTGTGTCCTAGCTTGGAAGGACGTTTCTCCACTTTAGCTGGTGAAGACACTCCTAGCCCTGAGGAACTTTTAGTCTAAATAGCAGGCACACTGGGATAGGATAATGGTTATCCTAGATGAAGGTTTAGGGATTATATTTCTTATCCCTATTTTTATTGGTAATTAACTGCAAAGGTCAAGCTCCCAACCACAAGGTCTATTAGACATTCTCTGTAGTAATTAAATCCATTGAAATGGTTGAATTTGTAGTGCAATTAGGGATTTTTGGCCTGCTAAGTGCCTACTGTTCTTCTAACTGTTTGAAAATGAGCAGCTTTAAGCATGATTCATGCTGAAAATCCACCTAAAAAGTCTGACTGAGCTGATGTGTGTGTTTCTAATGTGTTTTAACTCTGCTCCTCTAGATCATCCCAGCTGTGCCAGGAACTGCAACAAGCTTCATGAGAAACCAGGAGGACATGGTTATCTGAGTGCCATTAATTCAGCATATTGCTCTTGTGGGAGCACCTTGTTGGTGCTGTAAAGGAGCATGTTTCCGTTTTTTTTGTAGCAAGTGAAAATGAAAAAAGAAAGGACTTGTGTGGGCAGGACCTGCTGGGAGGCTGTGACTGAATGGCTGCTCTGGTGGCCCTGCAGACTGGGAAGGAGTGGTGCCTTGTGTGCGCGGAGCTGGGCAGGATGGAGGCAGCTTCCCCAGTCATCCACTTGCACTTCTTGGACTGGAGCAGCCATGCCTGAGGGTGCTCAGGGAGAGGAAGGCTGTTCACCAGCTACACTGCCACTGACCATCGCTGTTTTTCTTTAGGGGTTCAAAGATCCTGTGTACCGTGCCCGGAGGAAAGAGTTTGCAGATATTGCCTACAACTACAGACAGTGAGTGCTCAGTGCATTAACAGAAAGCAAGCCCGCATCTCCTGCCCTCTCCTAAGGCTCTCACCCTGATGGCAAACCCTATTCCTCCTCAGGCATCCTCCTGCTGTTGGCTTTTCTCTGCCATGTGTTTAAATCTTCCTGTTCATGCATTTATCCCCAAATCGCAGTAAAACAAAACTAAATCATTCAAGGCACACATTCAGAAGAGGACACTGCCTCCCTTCTTTCCCCACAACACCCCTCTTCCCCAGCTTTGTTGTCTAATTGAGCAGCAGACTCCATTGCTACTACAAAGACCTGAGCATTGAATAAAGCCGCTTCTGGTATTCTCCCCATTAAGCCAGGGCTGGGGGAGGAGTGCCTATCATTTACATTAAAGCAGGAGCTGCACACACTATTAAAATAATGAATAACTTATGGTTCTGATGCTAATCTAGCGCCTGATACTCTACTTTTATCATGTCTGACCCAGCTGCAATCTGCAATTTGGGCTCTCATTGACCAAGAAAAATAAATGGAGATGATAAATTCAGTTAGAACAGGCTTGCTTGATTGCTTTCAGTGATCAGATCTGGAAGAGATAAAATTCTGTTCCCAGAGCCCCTCACACATTTATATCAGTCCTTGTGGGCCTGATTCTTGCTGAGACTGGTAAAAATTGTGATTGCAAAGGATAAAGTAACATATGTTGTACATTTAGGGCTCCACTTTGTACAGGACTGTGATGAAAAGATAGCCTCTGAGCCAAAAAGCTAATAATCTAATCACAAAATGAGAGACAAAAAGTCAGGTGAAAAAAGTCAGGAGCCCAGTTTGTAACTAGAATATTTGGATAAGACTTTGTGGCCGGATGTGGATGAATGTAATGCCAGTTTATAGGTATCCCACAAAAGATTTACCTTTCCTGCATAACGGATAGAAAATTCTTGTATCTAGTTTGCAGGCTTTCACCAAATCCTACCTAGAAATGAGACAAAAAACACGTTAACCACTCCTTCCCCCGAGATTCAAACTGAAACCATTTTAGGATGATGAAACCATTATATTCCAAGATTTGACTAATTAATATTTAGTCTGTTATCCAGATACTCAGACACATTGGAAACAGAGTCTATACAGACCTGGACCTATGTGCCAAAAGCACCTTTTATGTAAAGTTCCTGGACTTTCCAATTAGGTCTTTTGGTAACAGAGCAGTAAGAAGTGTGTGAAAGCCCATGTCTGGGCTTCTGGGGCCTGTGGTAAAGAAGCATGTGTTTTTTGTGACTTTGGGTGTTGATTCAGGAAGGCCTGGATGGATCCGTGGTTTTGCCCTGGGTGTTACACCTGGTGGACATGCCTTTCAGGGTCTACAATGGGAAGGAGAGATCGAGGGCGTGTCTCTAGCGTGAAGGGACAGAGATTCAGAGAACTAGGCAGGAGGAGAGGGACAACCAAAGTTATCCGGCTTCATGGGAAGTATCTGAAAAGGTAAATGTGCTTAGCTTGTGAAGGTGCTATCTAGCTACAAAGGTGAGGTGGGTCTATGGTGTTTTGTCTTGTACTCTTCCTCCCACCATCAATTCCATCCTCTTCTGTGTCCCTTCTTTTGCATCTATTTTGTCCTTTTTCCTCCCATTGTTTGCCTCTCTATTCTGCTTTTGCTCTTTTGCCTTATTTCTCAATACATTTACCCGTTGCTTTTGTTGAATTCCTTAATTTCCCTAACTTCTCTTTTCTTTGCTTTCTCTTCCCTCTGCTTTCATTTGCTTCTGGCTCTGTTGATCCCTAAAAATTTTTAATTGAAATTTGAAAGGTTTTTAAGCCATAGCTTTTCCCTGTAGCCTTGGAAGTCAGTTGAGGATTACTTAGGAGTGCTATAGGAACAACAATCCCACAGCAATCCTCATAATTCAACATGCTGTTTAAAGCTCCACAGATTAAGGAGGGCTGCTACAGAGAGACAGAAAATGATGGTGCTCCAGAGGAGCTGCCCTGAGGCTCAAGGAAAAAATGAGGGAGTGGGAGATGGTGGGGTGTCATCAAGAGTTTAACAATGGGTCTCTGGGGCTTGGAAAGCTCCAGCATTATTCCAGCAGTGATGTTAACCCTATTAAGTTACTTAAACCCCTTTGATTTTTCAAAGCTGCTGGATTCACCTATGGCCCTATCATTATTGCTAAGGAATTGACTATTCACAGGAGGCCAAAGTACATTGCTTGTGATTGTCTAATTCCTGCTAGCTTCAACATGAGCTAAGCACATGGAGGCCTGAGGGTGGGATTTGACTCAAAATTACTCATTACAATTATAAAAAGTCAAACTGGCTGGAGTCTGCATCTGTTACAACATAAAGCACAGATCAGAATTTCTCTGCCCCTTCAACAAAGAGAGTTTTCTGGAGCTGATGGTTTCCCTGTTGTAACCAAAACAATTAATGTATAGTGTATTAGAGCAAGAAATACGACAGCTGTTCCATATCTAGAAAAGCAAATAACTTGAAACCAAGAGGCAGCAAATATTTTCAGAATAACATTTTGATAAGACAAAAGAGCACTGATTTATTTTTACCACAGTAATGCAAAGAGTTGCCCAGAGGCCAGTATCTCATGAGGTCAGTAGAGTCCTTTTCAACCTGTGCCTAGGGGCAAGTGAGGCTTCTTTTGCATCTGCATGTCAGATCAAAGGCATCTCCCTCCTGCACCAGTGGCTCCTGGCCAGCCAGTGTAAAGCTCCTGAGTATGATGCTGGTGGCATGGGACATTGTCACTCCTATGGAGGGTGTCCATTCTCTTTCCAGTGGCCAACCTATTCCTCGAGTCACCTACACAGAAGAAGAAAAGAAAACATGGGGCACTGTCTTCAGGGAGCTGAAGAGTCTCTATCCAACTCATGCTTGTTATGAACACAACCATGTATTCCCACTGCTGGAGAAGTACTGTGGCTACCAGGAGGACAACATTCCCCAGCTTGAAGATGTTTCAAAATTTTTGCAGAGTAAGTTTGAAGCATATAAAAGAACCAAATCAAATTAAAGACTTCAGCTCTCGGTGGGAGTGGTGCTTCCAGAGATGGAAAATCAGTCCCTGCTTTATTACAAGATCCCTGTTGTACTTGGGCACATCACTTAGCCTGTGTCCCAGGCCCCTCTAGAACTTTCAGGGGTACAATAGGACAGATGCTCAGATATGGTGATGGTGGTATGCATGGTAGAAAATTCCCTCCTCTTTCACAGTTAAACTCTGTTTAACAGAAGGAGAGCAAAGAAATCACTTAACAACCTTTTTCCACTGTGAGGAGTCTGGATAAAGATAAATCAAACTAGCTGTTTTTAAGATGCCTTTTTTTTTGTCCTTTCAGCCTGCACTGGATTTCGCCTGCGTCCTGTTGCAGGCTTGCTCTCTTCTCGGGATTTCTTGGCTGGGCTGGCGTTCCGAGTATTCCACTCTACGCAGTATATTCGCCATGCATCCAAACCAATGTACACACCAGAGCCGTAAGTACTCTGGCACAGAACATGTGTAAAGTTGCAGCAGAATAACAGCAGGGTCAGCCCAACTGATAATAACCACCATGGGACTCTGAAGCACTCCTGGGAACAGAGCTAATGAAGAGCAGCCAAGCAACTGCTCTCTGCTGAAAACTCTTTCAGAAGATTTCTAGTCTTTTTAACAAGCTGCATTCTCTTCTGCAAGTTCTTATGGGACAGTTTTGCTACTGAAGGCATGCTTGCATGGCAGCTGGGACATGAGAGAGCACTGTACAAAGGCATTTAGCTTAGCTATTAGCACCCAAATAGTGGTGTGAAATTTAGTTCAGGAATGACTCAACATGTTTCAAGCAAGCTTCTGGCAGCAAGATAGAGGAAGACCAGATCATTGATCCCTTCTCTGTTTCAGTGTTATGCTGTAATGTTTCTCTCTGTTCCTGTCCATTGTTGTTTTCCACTTGTTTTCAAAATGTTTTCATCCTCTACTTTATATTGTTGCAATTCTTCTTCTTCTCCCATACCATTTTTTTCCTCTTACTTCTTCCCACGTCCTCCTTTTCCCCTCCATTTTTCTATCCCTCATTATTCCAATTTTCCTCCCTGCTCACCCCATTCTCATCTTGCACAGACCGACTGAAATGTGTTCCACAGACCTGGCCCTCCTGAGAGCATCTTATTCTTCTTTCCTTTCCATCTCAGCAAATCACTTCTTTGTCTTTGAAAAATCTAGCAGTTCCTAGGTGTGTTCTTCCCTAAACATGCCTGTCCAGCTCCCAACTTCAGCTTGCAATGAAAATAGTCCTACCTGAGGAAGGGTGAGCTTCCGCCTCACACTGGGAGGCTGTGGTACTGAACAGGGACTAGAGTTGAGATCTTGAGTTATATGTTGACACCATGGTGAATTGTTGTGGTAGCCTGAACTTCATCTAAAGAGGTTTCTTGTCCTTGAGACTGAAAAGTCCATGTTCTCTTTGATGGGGTGATTTCTGTCTGGGCTTTCCTGAGTGGGGCAGACAGTTGAATGGATGGTTTTCTTCCATAAGGAAAACCAAATAATGTATCAGCCTTCCTCTGAGGGATGTATGATGGTAAAAGCACTGAAAACCCTGGAGTGTGCAAGAGTTTCCATCACAAGAATAATTTTAGAGCAAAATATTTTCCTATGAGACTTGAGCATTATTTGCTGGCAGGAGCAGATGCACTGCACTCTTGACCATGTGCTGACTCTATGGCATTCATCCAGCATTTCTGGACTTTTCCTGAATTAAAGTTATTCAGATGTCATGTTTTCCTGCAGTGATATTTGCCATGAGCTGCTAGGACATGTGCCTCTCTTTGCTGATCCCAGTTTTGCTCAGTTCTCCCAGGTAAGTTACTCAGTGGTTATACTCTATATAATTGAACACACCAGAGACTAATTAATTCAGAGGATGAACCAAGAGCTATGAGGGGTGGGGTGGATTCACCTTTAAGCATACTGTTTAAGAGTGGCTGAGGCTGATTTATTTGTTGCTTGAAATCTTGACACAAATCACTTAGGTGAACTCATACACTCAAACTCCAAATGTCTGTCTTGTGTGAGTTGTTTTTTTACAGGCAAACCCTTTTCAAAGCCATCATCTAAAAACCTTTTTGAAGATGTTGATCCTTCTGAGCGAAATTAAATGGCTCATGAATCAGATGAATTATTGCCCCACCATGCAGTCCAAATGTTAGAGAAAGTGGAGAGTTTTTTTTGTTTTCTATTGAAGCCACAGAGGAGGCTGAGTAAAGTGAGGAACTGTCCCAGCTGCAAGCATGGGAGAAGGCTGGAGAGGAGCTTTCTCTTTAGTAGTGTTAACGTCTCTGAAAAGAAGCCAGACCTCAGTGAAGGGGTAAACTTTTTGCTGCATCTTACCAGAAAACATGAAAAGATACAAAGACAGAAAAGTCATAGAGACAGGAAGAAAGAAAGAAAGAAAGAAAGAAAGAAAGAAAGAAAGAAAGAAAGAAAGAAAGAAAGAAAGAAAGAAAGAAAGAAAGAAAGAAAGAAAGAAAGAAAGAAAGAAAGAAAGAAAGAAAGAAAGAAAGAAAGAAAGAAAGAAAGAAAGAAAGAAAGAAAGAAAGAAAGAAAGAAAGAAAGAAAGAAAGAAAGAAAGAAAGAAAGAAAGAAAGAAAGAAAGAAAGAAAGAAAGAAAGAAAGAAAGAAAGAAAGAAAGAAAGAAAGAAAGAAAGAAAGAAAGAAAGAAAGAAAGAAAGAAAGAAAGAAAGAAAGAAAGAAAGAAAGAAAGAAAGAAAGAAAGAAAGAAAGAAAGAAAGAAAGAAAGAAAGAAAGAAAGAAAGAAAGAAAGAAAGAAAGAAAGAAAGAAAGAAAGAAAGAAAGAAAGAAAGAAAGAAAGAAAGAAAGAAAGAAAGAAAGAAAGAAAGAAAGAAAGA